AAACGGCCAAACCCTTGTAAATCAGTTCGAGTTGGTACGCGGATAATTAATTTTATGTTATAATGAAAACTAACAATGACGATATGATATATATATATATATATATATTTCAGAAAAATAATTATACATGTTGTATTGAAGTAAAGAAAAAAAGCGAGTATAATACAAGTTTACCTCATTTAGAGGCATCCAAGCAATTTATAATTTTCATATGTTACAATAATTATACCCCTAAAAGTATAAAGTAGTCCAAAAATTAAAATAAACTAGAAAAGATAACTAAATAAATATGTGTGAGTACTTAACTACCCTCTCACATTTGGTGCATTAGTTAGACTGTAATAATACACTTGACATCATAACACTTTGTAGTCAAATTATCTTCACCTGATATCATCGGTCCTCAAGCATCTCTCATAGGCAAGCTTAGGAGCCATCTTTGACATTCATCCAAAGCCAAAGAGATTGAAGAATCCTCTAAGACCCCAATCTTTGCAAGTTCAAAATAAAAACTCACTATCACACTCACAAAATTCAAATGTTAGAGCAAAACTTCATCCACCAAATCACAAAACGAAAATGATATATAGTTATTAATCTATTAAATGTATGTTAACTTTTATGAAAATAATATAGTTATAATATATAGTACGTGATAATTAATAAAGATTACAATTATGACTCGTTACTAAATGTGTAAATATTTAATATCAATTATATAACAACACATATATCATAACTATAAACTTATAAATTTATATAGTATTATAATTATATCATTACTGTAATTATATGTGTCTTCTAGTAACAAGAAATTAAACAAGTAAAATTACCATGAAGTAATGCTTTGAGAGTGTACCATAAGATAAGATTATAGATAAATCATTTTTCTTTGTAAAATGCTAATAACACAATTTTTCTAATGTTGTACCAAACTTTCATATTTTCGAACATCTTTAATTACGATTTGATATTTTGATTTAATGACCATAGTTTTGGTTAAATTATCTAAATTAAAGGTTTTAGGGAAGTTCTTCCCCCAATGCTTCTTGCAGGCTGTTTGCCAGATAACTGTCTTCGTATGTAGTTATACTTGGATGTTTCTATATATGGTATATTAATTAGTGTTGTTATGGTATTCCACAAAAAAATCAGTATTGTTATGGTGATTTTGGATACAACCAAGGTTGTGATTTCATTCCCAACCAACTATGTGATTTAATAGTAACTTCCTTTCAATAATTAAAAATAAATTTTTTTTTTAAATTTGACTCGTAAAATAATTCTTAATCTTTATCTATAAAAAAATCAATAAAGCAAATACATTTCTTCATACTTTTTGCTCTTTGCTTTAATTTTTCACAAATACTTATCATGTCTAAATGAGTATGGATTTTAACACAAAATTGGAAAAGAAAAAAAAAAAAAAAACTAATGATATCATTTTCCTTCATTTAGTATATATCACTTAAGGCACGTTCTGATGACTTGTAATACTTTAGTTTGAATCCTGAAAATGGGAATAGACGACATGTGTTTGAGAAAAGGAAGTTGGAATGTCTCTGTTTTCTTTTTCTTCTTCCTTTTTTTTTTTTTATTTTTTTTTTATTTTTCGTTGTAGACTTGGTCAACACTTGTTAATTTGTAGGGATGCATTAATATTATAGGGTCGAGATAACTTTCAGCAAGTATTATTTGTTAGCTTCTCCCAGTGTTCAAAAGAAAAGCTTTCTTACCGACGAAGGGTTGGATCAAGTGGTAAGCGGCTTGTTTCAGTTTAAGTGAGGTCTCGAGTTCGAAATTTTGTGAACGCAGCAGCCCTCGCTGGGAGACTCACCTACTATCTCCAGGTGCGCAACGCGGTCGGGTCCGGATTAGTTGGGACGAAACCCCGGATACC